CGATAAGTGTTCTTTCCTTCCAATTGGGACCAAGGACCGCATTGTTTTTATCCCATAGAGAACTTCCTGCTAGGAAACCAACCTTCGTAAGGGATTACGGAATTTAACATGTTTTGGAATACTTGTAGCTGGGTAGCTAGCCGGTAAACAAGTTGGTACACTATACCTGCAGCCATGCACCAGCAATCAACCTCATTGAGCTAACCGGAGAACGACCAAACGGGACAATGCTGAGGAAGAAAGACAAAGAAACTTTGAGTATCTCAACAAGTCGGAAAATGTTATCTGCAGCCAAGCTGTAGCAACCTACTCCCTGAACCCATCAAAGTACCGCCAAGCAGGATGAAGTGATCGAACGAGGACAAAGAAACGGCGAGGATTCTAATACGTGGGATCGCGATGCATGCAACCAGTCAGCGTCAAGCTACTCTGTTGTATATCCGGATGGTCAGCCAGCCACCATGTAGCCCGTATACTGGGGCCGACAAAATGTAAAAGGAACCTCGGGGTAACTGGCGTCGTTAATTCTTGGATTTTCCTGACAAAAGTTACCGCGACCAAGCTACTTATAACAATGCACCGGTGATGTCGGTCTCGATTGGTGGCTAAACATAAGTAATCAATGTGCCAAGCTCAAAGAACACCTGTGGAACTAGGCTTTTCAGTGTTGTATCACTAAAACCGTACACACACCAGAACAGCTTAGAGAAAGCTGTTTCTGCAAATTGGAGGTTTTCTATAGATATCTTCTCAGATGACGACAGACGCGTGAATTCTGCTCAGTTCTTATATGAAACGTGCTAAGGTAAGGATTGCCAGCATCCTATTCCCGCACGAAAGCTGATTGACTCTAAAACAGAAGTATGTTTGCGGTTATATAAAGCAGTGGTTAGGCCACCTCTGGATTACTGGGTTCAGGTTTGGGCACCGTATCTCCGCAATGACGCAAAGCGCGTGGAAAAGCTAAGGCTACCTGCGACCAGGTTGTTAAAATGTCACTGATGGAAGTCGTACGACGATCATCTAAGTAGCTTAGGATAATTTTCCATGGAGCGGCGCAGATGGAGAGAGGATTCGATAGAGACAGCTGGGGTAATTAAAGGTATCATTGGTACCAGTTCTGCTTATCTATCGAATTTAACTACGTCGGACAAGCTGCGCAGGCATCGCCTGAAAGGCAACGTACATAGAGCGCCTTTGCTATCAGGACAAAATTTTTTACGAACCTAGTGGTTGACAACTTCAATAAACCCCCAGCTGTAGACGTCTTCATAAAGGACTTAGATAAGGGTTGATCGCATAATTCTCTCGAACTTTGTAAGTATACCGGAAAATGTGGTGTACTCTGTTGATGACACCCGTAAGTGCTAAAATTGCAGTTGTCCTAGGTTCATTCCTTGCATTAGCAAAAAGAAGCAATCCAAGTTTGAAGTGCCAAGTGCTGTTATTCGAGCACCGGCATAATAAACTGGACGGTCATTAGACGAAAAGCTCTATCGTCCGTTGTACTTGACCTGATATGTCTTAACCTGTAAGTGTTTCAAAATGTTGTAGATCATCCGCAGGGCATTCGAGACCTTCAGGGCAATGTTTGTTAGGTTTTTTTCAGCCATTGGCAGGCCAAACTTAGAATACTTCATCCATGATTGTCCACCTTGATTAGTCTGGGGCAGGATGCCATTAAAGAGCGTGTTAAGAGTTAAAATCAAAAGGTTTCATGAACTACAGAACTTTTCTTACCCAGAAAGACTACTTGAGCTGCGCATGTTCTCAATACCTCATCATGGACATTGAGGCGAAGTGACACTGGTGTACCGCAAACGTACCGGTAAAATCGGACCACATTTATCTCGGCTTATTTCGCTCCAAAGTTTCTCGATGAAAGTAGTTATACCTCAATTGGATGGAGTCCTGCGGACTTTTGCTTATCAAGCCATGGTGCATTCCTGGAATGCGCTGCCTGAGAACATGGTATTAGCACTAAAGTTGAAAGAGTTAAAACACGGACTTGACGCCATCGGTCTTCCATTCTTAACTACCCCTTCTCTTCTTAGCAGCTTCGCCTTATTGCAATGGTAAACCTATCACTTTTCGGTTATAACAATCCTTATTCCCTTCGTACTTCAGTTTTTATTTTTAGGTGACCGGTGAGGCGGGGACTGCCAATGCAGGTCGCGTGGGTATTAACTAGTTGACCGTATCGTGGTTCGCGTGCTGACTTGCTTTTTCTAGATTCCAGAGCTCGCGAACGAATAACATCCCAGGTCAACGACGCGCCACGGAAGGAACATTCACGAGAATTTCTGCTCCCGTCTCAGTCCCAGTTGATTCATCACGATTTCCTTCTCCTTGGCGGTAAATTGAAATTTTTGAGAAGACTGTCTTTTTGACGTTTTATTTCCATGGAACAGTTTCGGAATGTTTATGATTGTCGTGCAAAAATTTTAATTGTGGAATTTCGCTTGATGCTAATAACCTGGATCATTGTTTTACCCGGATTACATAGTACCCATTCCCGGGTATTTACCAAAAGCAGTCCCTCTTTTTCAGATTCAGCCTTTGGCCAATTTTCGGTATTTTTGTGTTTTGTTACCCGTTTTGCATTTCTTTAACCCGTACCTCTTTATGTTGACTGCCCTGCAGGTAACAGCTTGTCGGTTTTAGGTTTTGATGTTGTTTTACAATTTCCAAGCATCTGGTGGAATTCATTGAATACCGGGGCTAATGTGTCTTCGGCTGCCAAGTGGCTTCCTCATCCAAAACTTACGTAAGCTATCGAGCAGTTAGAAAGAATTGTAAGCAACCTCTTAGGACTCTTCTTCTTCTTCTTACTTACCAAGAGGATTTGGTTGATGCAGCCTTAACAAATTCAAAGCAGTATGTGGATTACGTAAATAGACGCAGCGGTACAAACTTGTCTGTACCAGCTTTACCACGAGTGGACGGGACCTGCTTGCATACCGACTATGATAATACTTGTATATTTAGCAAACAGTTTACTGGTGTCTTTTCTCGTGCGACCTCGCTGCCGCAGGTTGAGCTGGTCACAAAATCCCGGAGGATTCTTGCCTAACAGTAATCAGCATAACGGAGACACAAGCCTAGGGCTATTGCAAAGGAAGATTCCTTCCAAAACTTCTGGCCCTGATTCAATGCATCCGAAGCTGATGCATGAATTGGCCGCTGAGCTAACTGGCCCTCGACATGCAGGTTTAGAACATCGCTCGACAGCTCTGCCTTAGCTTCGGAATGGAAGGAGGCAATCAGCTGTCCGATTTTTAAGGGCGGTGACAGCGCGCTGCCTGCGAAATACCGACCTGGCAGCTTGACAAGCGTAGTATTTAACTTCTATGAAATATTTGTCAAGGATTCGGTGGAGAATCACCTGCTTAAGTTTAACCTTATAAATACGGTCCATCACGGGTTCCGCAAGGAATTTTCATGTCTGGGAAATGTACTTGTAGCTCGTGGAAGCTGATCTGAAGCAGTTGACAACGGTCACGTTATTGATGTGCTTTTCGTTGACTACGAAAGCCTTTGGTACTCTGCCACATCCAAGACTCTCACTAAAGTTAACCTTGGCTGCGATACCTGCAACGGCCATTAAATGGGTCTCTGCTTTTCTGTAGGGGAGAGAAAAGTGTGTACGAGTGAGGCGTAGGCTTTCGCTTAGGCAAGCTTTTATTAGTGGCTTTCCGCACGGCTCTGTTCTAGGGCTGTTGCTTTTCGAAATTTATCTCAATGAACTACCGCAGGAGATTGAGTTACCTTTGTTGTTGTTTGTTGATGACCGCGAGCCCTGCGATATTGTGGAAATCCCTGGGGCTCTGAGGCAAGTTAGTTTGTCCTGAATAGGCTCTTTGATTGGTTGATGCATATAACGCATACGAAATGTTCTGTTCTTCTCATTGGAGTTGCTAGTCCCCCCACGCCTTATGTAGTTGGTGGAAGTGAAATCCTGTTTTCATCAGCAGGTTGAGCTAGGTATCTTCCACAACTTAGTGCTTAACTTTGGAGATAGTTGGAGGAAAACTGCTTGTAGCGTTTACCGTATGCTGTGATTTAGTCGCCGCTGCTTCGGTACCCTAACGGTTACTAGCTTTGTGAAGCTGTTCCGAGCTTTTGTGCGACCGCACTTAGAATGCTGTCTATCTTGTCTTGTAAGTGAATAAATGGAAATGGAAAGGGTTTTACGAGTGGGCATAAGGTTAGTACCGGTATTACGGGGACAGACGTATCCCTACGCTAGCTTAGCTTGGGTATTAACTCAATGGACTACCGCAGCATTAGAGGAGACTTGATCCACGCTTACTGTTAAAGCTGCACAAACTCAGTTATGACCGGGTAAGGACGGAAACTCATTTGTCTCGCCGGGTTATTGAACGCTGGAATTCGCTTCCGGAGAAACGAGTCAACGAGTCTAAGGTAGTGGGCTTCGAGCGTCAGTTAGATCCTCTTGCGTAGCAGTAGCAAACCTTTCTCCTAACCGACTTGTAGCTTAAACTTTCCTTTTGCCTTTTTAATACCTTCTCACATCTTATTATTATTATTATCATTATTTAACTGACATTCCTCCTTTTGTTTTCTTACCTTTCACTCTCGTTCATCACATAAACCGGCCTGGCGGGGACTGTCAAGCAGGAAAACTTGGGCAATATTTGGTTGGACAGGGTGTGATGTTGTCTCAGTTTTGGGTTTACCAACCTCTTAGGCAGACCTATCAATTATCGATCCAACGATACGCAAAATAAGGAACATTTACGGGATTATCATGTTCCGGTCCGACTGTACCTGAATTTGAACTTAAACATACTTCATATAAAAAGTATACTACACAATGGTTGTGCGTAAAAAACGTTTTTAATATCTTGTGTTTCTAGTCACTTTTGTGCGCTACCAACCTGGAACAACGCGACATAATAATCTTTATTCGCGGTAGGAGTAAGGAACGGCCTCCATTTTATCGCATCACCCTTTCGTGATTACTGCTGCCCCAAACAATGAAGTTCCGGTACAAGGAAGAACGGTCTTTCGAGAAGCGTCGAGAAGAGGGCGAAAAGATTCGAAAGAAATACAGCACCTATGTTCCGGTTAGTTTTCTCTCTTCCATGTAATGTTGATTTGCAATTTTTGCTACTGCTGTAGTTTTAACGGCAGCGAGCTTCTCGCGGCTGTTCGCTTGCATTGTTCTCACTTATCGATGGAAGCTTATACAGTAATGGCTGATAACCGCCCATGTTTCGTGAGTACATCGTCTAAGGAAGCGAGAACAACCGCACCACGACTTCTAGTTGAAAAATCAACATGTTACACAAAGTCGTGTTCATGCATCCACTGCTCTAAGTCTCCTTCCAGTGAGACTGTTTTATTTATCGCGTGCAGGTTAAAGTCGCTAACTGTTACAAACTTGAGGCTGAAGTGGCGGTACGTTTTAACAGCTCACTTCGCTTCTTGTCCTCTCGCTTCGTAGACGGGCTGCGGTAAAGGCAAAAAATTAATCCGACCCTACCCCCACTCTCATAAAACATGAAGTGACTTGAACATTGGGAGTGCATATGGTGTACGGGGCTTCCCAATGACAATAAAGAGAAATAATAAGCAAAAGGTCCCTACCACTTTGGTACGCAGGACTTTCCCGTGTCCCGAGAATTCAGTTAGGAGACATTCGTTTATTGAATCATTCAAAGAAAGCCAGGTCTCGGTAATCGAAACCGCGTCTACACCTATGCATCTCAACGCTATCCGCCCCCACTTATTTTTAAGCTACAAGCATTCGTGTACCATACATTTGTTGGTGCCTGTCGCAGTCTCCGTCCTCAAATTTTCTTTCAAAGTTCACTTCGGGCTCTGCACCCGAGAGGACAGCCCGTAATTTGGCTCTCGTGTAACAGGAGTGTCTGGAGCCTCAACATGGATCGGTGGAGACCGTACACGGCTGTGAGTTGGTGTTTAAGCCACCTCTGGCTTGACCTCATTAACCACAAACCTCTCAGTTGCACTTGACTGGGACAAGTTTAGACTTTTAGGAACGTTGTCGGAGAGCCCTTCTCTATGCCCAGTAACCGGATCAATCGTAGTTCCTGTTGAATTCGTTTCTGTTTCCCGTGTTAAAAATAACAGTCGTGTTCAATCACTTACAACTTGAATTCCTTCAAGCGGTGAGTTCGGACCACACTTCTCTTCAGCATATCATTGGAATCACTCGAAGTCTTCAAATGGTCGATGTCTGCTGTAGCCGCATTCCGTGGAGAGGTAGAACCATCCATCTGGGAAGAGTGAACCCCATGAGCTCCACATGGCATATTGTTAACACCGAGATTGTGATTGAAGTGCTGGTTCACTGGTACAACAGAGTTGATTTCCACGTTGTGCGACGGTACTAGTGTTGTGAATTGGGCGCGTGATACGAACGTATCTGGAGTCACTTGACAGCGACCATTTGTCTGACCAGCTAAGATCACGATATATCGAGTTTTTGAACTCCATTACGATCGGCCTTGCAGGGCCCTCTTGATGCAAAGCGCTTACTTTCTTCCAGCTACAACCTCGATGGATTCTTTTGATGCCTACGAGAGGCAATATATCAACAATACATTGTATATCGTGAACACTTCTATCCAAATCACGCCTAGTCAGCCTCTTATATCGCCGGCTCTTCCCGGTTGTATGTAAGCACAGTCCTCTGCCTTCCCATAGCAATTTCAATATTACGTATTTAATGCTCGAAGTGATAACATTTTATCAACTTTTGCTCACAGCTCTTCGATGACAGAGCCCTGTTTCCGAATCATCTTTTCTGCCATGCTAAGCCTATTCAGATCTTCCTCTTTCAAGGCCCTTTGCTTCTCACTGACATGACAAAGCTGAACCGAAAGTTTTCCACTCAGGAAACGAGAACAAGTGTCCGCTAAGCACACACACCGAAAACAAACCATTTCAATTTTAGGTAGAGTGAGTATACCTCAGTCGACTCCTCGTCCAACCGTGAAACAACATTGTGGTACCTTAGTAGGCATCTGTCACACTGTATTCCTTTTTCTACTGCACCCTTGCAGCTATGCTCGCCGCAATAATGTGTCTGTTGACTCCCTGACCAACGCAGAGGAACCGACAATACACGAGAAATACTACCTTCAGAGCTAGTTAAATCAGGCAAAACGCTGCAACAGGTGTACTAAAAATGCAACGTATTATAAAGTAACAACCCAACAACAACAAGCAAAAAGGAAACTAACCGGTTAGCTAATGACAAAAATTGAAGCGAGCTCACGGTTCTGAAAATATGGTACAATCCTGTTCTTGCTTTACTTCTTATGTACGGGTAAGTAAAACAGCTCAAACATCGAAGTGCAGGTAAGGAGTTCTGGTTTGCTTGCTGGTAGAATAAACAGATCGCTCGTTATGCGAGAGCCTATCTCGATAGGACCAAGTCGGGTCACATAGTGCAGAAGATTCCGAGAGTCCGATGGTGGCTAGTCTTCTTCGTTTCCGCTCGTTAGAGTTAAAGAATGGACTACGTGTGTTATCTGCTAACTTGCGCAGCCCAAGGAACAAACTGGATGTAGTTCGTCTTCTCGCTTCGCAGGATCACCCGGATCTAATAACTTTCACAGCAACATGTTTATCTTCAGATACCCTAGACTCGGAGGTCCACATTCCAGGCTACCATCACTCTTGATCCAATCTCTCTGGTACGAGGTCTGGCGGCGGTACGATCTCCTTTTGGAAAGCCTACCGTAGGGCTTATCTAGTTGAGGCTGAATATGACCGTGATGGAGGCTTTAAACTCATCCGGTACCGGATTCACGACGATCGCAGACATCTTTTTTTAGGTATCGTTTATGGAGCTCCCTCTGGTCACGGTGTTGGACTGTTGAAATCGATTATGAAGAACTGTAAAAGAAACGTTTGCATGAGACTGGGAGATTTTAACGCCCTTACTGTCGATTGGGACCTACTTCACTGTTATCCCTCTTCAATATCCTTTGACGCTGCTTTTCTCTAAAATGTACTATGGTGCTATCTGTTCCAACTTGTTGCATTACACACTAGGATGTGCCCGGGCCAGGCACCGCAATCCTCGACCTCGTGCTTACACTGACAGATATTTCGGGCTTGGCTGTTCTACAAGCGATTGACAACAGCGATCACAGTGTTGTCTCCCTCCAGTGGATTCCACGGCTCTCCATTCAGGACCAGTGAGTACATTGGCGGGATTTTTGGCGTACTGATCTATACCGCTTGAATAACGCTGCAGATAAGTTGGACTGGAATCTCCCGGATCATTTGGATCTGGATGATGCTTGGATTTTTTTTCACTCCTACCTGATGTCAATTATTGGTCAGATCGTTCGAAATGAGGCTCGACCTTACCGTGGTGCGATGGTTTGTGTGCCTCAGAGATCTATTGAGCTATGCTGGGTGGTGCGTTTTTACACCTTCAGAGCCACTCATACCAGATTGGTCAATGGTTAGAGGCCAGACAAACTCAGCCTCTTGGTCCTCCAGTTTGGGAATTGGAATGTGGGTGGCTTCTTATTCTTTAAAACGGACTTATTGGAGCCTAATGCCAAACCTACTGCCTTGCGTGCAAGCTTCGGAAGCGAAAGCTTTGGTTGGAGACCCTAATTGTTCTCCTGTCTGTGCCTGGGCAACCTGACAGTATCTTGCGCATGCAATCCCATGAATCCTTCCTCAAACAATTTCCTGATTCTCTGGCCACCGCGGAGGATAATCAACGGTGCCCCGTTTGCTGCATCGAGCATGTTGGATAGGGGTTTGGATGCTACTGCTCAAGCCTTCTCGTCTTCTTATTCCCCCTTTTACGCTTTTTCACACTTATCGTCTCGTTCCAGCTTCACTTTTATCTCCCCTGTTTTCAACCCCTCAATTCTTGCCCCCCTTGTTTCAATAGTCGCTTGTCTTATACTTTCAACTCACATGTGAACGCGGAGCGTCATTCCTGCCTTGTCAACAGGCCCATGTCTAAGCAAGCGATCAAGCCCATTTCATCGACTTCCATTTGGAGCCTTCGATCCTCATCCAAATTGGCATGCCTTAATGTACGCACATTGCTTCAGATCGGTCAACAGGCAGCACTTGCCCGAACATTAGACACGCTCTCGATCGGTATCTTCTACCTATCGGAGACCCGCCTGCAAGACGAGCTCTGTGCTCATTTTGCGATCTTCTTCAGGTGACACTAGCAGTACTTTCTCATTCCGTCCATCCGGTGACAAAGCAGCTTCGAGTATCGGTCAAGCCGGTGTTGGTATTGCCCTGAGTCGTCGGGCTGAAGCTGCTCTGGTTGATTGGATTCCAATCAGTAGCCGGATGTGTGCGGTCCGATTGGCTGGCTCGTACAAAATTTCGAAGTCGCACGGGACTAACGGTTGTCTATTCGTTATTACTGCCTATGCACCCACAAACTCTAGCGATGACTATCGTCAACTGAACCAGCTCCTTCGCCACAGAAAAATCTCGGACACTGTAGTGCTGGCTTGGGATCTGAACGCCCACGTTGGAAAATTATCCACTGATGAACTGCGTCTGGGCGGCCAACATGGTATAGGCTCCCGTAATGATAACGGTGAGTGGTTACTTCATTTGTGCGAGGATGCTCGCTTATTTCTTGCGAGCACTAATTTCCGACACAGCACCCGCCGGAGAGTGGATTGGCGCCCACTAACCTCGAATCAGCTATGGACGCAAATCGATCACATTGCGATAAGCCATCGATGGAGAGGCTGCGTCCAGAACTGTCGCTCGATTTGGAACACATGTGTAGACACCCTCCATGCACTTGTATGTGCTGGCCTACGGATGCGCTTTGGCGGACGCCCACAACGACGTGGCCGCATTGACACCAGCCAACTGGCGAAGCCAGCTGTTCTGAATGCCTATCAAATTACGCTGTCATGCGAGTTGAATAAGCGCCCACTGGTCTCAAATTTACGAGACCTTACTAGCAGCAGGAAAATACTCATGTAGTAAGTCTAATCGTCAACATGGACATTGGGTCTCTTCGCAGTCTCTGGAACTTATCGATGCTGCCGGCATATTGCGACTGGAAATTCGCAAAGAGCTCCGG